GTTCTGAAACGCGGGAAATATAGTGCCACCTCTTTTGACATTATGTGCTCCTGATACAAAATCCCGATTACGAACCAAAATAGCGAAAAATTTCAAACAACTTCTTACAATATATTCAATGCTTATGATCCAAAATTTAAATAAATTATGTCAATTAACATGGTTTAAACTCGTGTTCCAAGAACCCGATTTATTTTAAATTTTCAGATATATGTTAAGAGTAAAAAAAGGGGAAAATGATCGAACTACCTACATAATAATTGTTTAAACAATTTATTTCAGTACACAGCGTAAATACAGTGTAAATACAATATAATATTAATGCCAAATACATTTCTACGGTTACAAAATATTATTACTAAATATTATTGGCTGGAGAATTTGTTATTCCAGTGGAATTACAGATTGTTTATGTTGTTTCTGCTGTTGGAATCTGGCAGAATCTACAAGCCTAGCTAGATCATCCTTGGACCGTATGTGCCCGCTGCTGCTCACTTCATCCCATTTCGTCTCCTGATTGCCAGAAGAATGCTGAAATCGTATGTCACACAGATGCAACCCTTCCTTCTTCATAGGCAAAGCTGCCCTGCAGGTCACGCCCTCAATAAACGTATCAGATCCATTAGATTTTCTAGAATATTCCAAAGACCAGTGCCATAAATTCTGCAATCCTTTCGTAAGACTAAAGAAGTCACTGGTTATCGAATTTCCATTGAGCAAAAGAGCCTCCAGACTCTTGAGATCACTAAAAATTCCATCTGGTAGGCTCGACAGTAAATTGAACTCCAGGTTCAACTCATCAAGATGAGTGAGGCCATCAAAAGTTCCAGGTTCAATATACTCGATCTGATTCTTATGCAGCTGAAGACTCTGCAGGTTATCTCCAACTTCCGAGAATGAATCCCTGGATAAATTCCTGATCTCCTGATTAAACACAGCAATCGTGGTCAAGTGTGGAATTCCCCTGAACAATTCCCGAGGAAATTCGTTGAGATGGTTTCTATCAAGGTAGATTTCCTCCAGGGTGGATAGATTTTCGAAAGGGCTTGATAGCCCATGCAGTTTCAGGTTGATCACGTTGATGGATGTGAGTTCTTCGAAATTGTTGAACATATTTGTCAAGTTTACCGAGAAAGGCGTATCAGCAAGCGGGTGGCATGAATACAGATCGATGGATTTGGAGGTCCAATTGGTTGAAGATTCAGTGAGACTCTGAACAGAGACTCTATGAAGGTCCACGCAGAGTGGATCCATATCCCATGTGCAGGTCACGCTGGCGTCGGCATTCTCGTGGCAGGATTCGGGTAAACTTTCTGCGATCAAAAAAAAGGCTGACAGATAAATGAAAATAAGTGATGTCTCCATTTTGACTGCAGAGCTTCATTCGTGTACGGTTTATATATGCCTGCTGATAAGCAAAACGATCCTTTTACTATTGAAAAGACGTTCGAATAGTGTGAGTTATTATTTTGCGACGACGTTTATCGTTTATGACGACAATAGGACTCCAGAGGCACACGCGCGACCTTGGATTTGTTGATAGTAATTATCTCTTTTTAATTAAATAGAAGATTCAAAAGAATTTTAAAACATACATCAGTTTTCGGTTTTCATAGAATTATAGAAAACTGTTGGCTGTCTTGATTAATTACGAGAATTCTTTAAGACAATCTAGAGAGAATCAGGTGTGCATGAAAATGGCGGCGACAAACGGCAGACAGAATGGCGGAGAATATTGGGTTACTACTTGCGTTCTTCTGTGATCCTGTTCTAAAATCCCAATTCACTTGAAATCTTCACTCAAACTCGCACTCGAAGGATTAAATGGCGGATATTTCCTGGCCACCTGCATGAATGCTAATTGTTTAAACAATCTGTTTCCATCACCAATTATTTAGAGAGTATATAGATTTTCTCTACAGTTATTCACAGAAATATAAAAATTATCGTTGGATTGTAAATAGAATTTTCAACTCACTGAATTTAGTTCCTCACTGTTGTTGAGATAATAATAATGTTAATACATTGAAGAAGAAGGTTAAAATTTTCCATTACATCTCAGGATTTTCCTTTTCCATGAGATAAATTATTCTGATTAGAGATCCTATCTCCGGCGGATCGACGACGGACAGCTCAGATGTATGTTTTGTAATTTCTCCGAAAGACCAGACAGTTAAATTCTTCAATCCTGCAGTAAGATCATAGAATTTATTGATTATCTGATTGTGATAGAGCAAAAGAGTCTTCAGATTCTCGAGACGATGAAAAATTTTATCTGGTAGAGTCTCCAAATAATTGAACTCCAGATTTAACTCACGAAGACGAGGGGACCCATCAAAAGTTCGAGGTTCAATGGACTTCACCTGATTTTTTTGCACCTGGAGAGTCTCCAGGTGACCGAGACCTTCAAAAATCTCAGGCCCTAGAGCCTGCAGCTGATTGTCATCCAAAATCAGATTCTTCAAGTGACTCAACCTTGAGAAAGCTCCTGGCTCTATACTCTCCAGCTGAAGCTTCTTCAGCTCCAGATTCTCCAGGTGATCCCCAACTTCGTCCAGCGAATTCTTGGGTAAATTCCTGATCTCCTGATCGTATACAGAAATCGTCTTCAAGTGTGGAATTCCTCTGAAGAATTCCCGAGGAAATTCGGAGAGATTGTTGTCACGGAAGGCGATACTCTCCAGGAACTGGAGATTTACGAAAGGACTTGGTGTCCCCTGGAATTCCACAACTGACAGGCGGATCGACCTGAGCTTTTGGAGATCTTTGAAGGAATCCTCGGTGAAGGTCATCATCCCGTAGGTCGATCTGTTGACAGTGGAGTCTGGATACATTTCCACATCTATGTGGGATGAATTGTTTATGAGTATAACAGATTCGTTGACACGTCCTCGATAAATATTCATCAGCACCGACGAATTCGCAGGTTTACACATTTGCGCATTGTAATGTAACATATAACAGAAATCGAAATTTCCTGCGACTAGAGATAACGTTGACAGGAAAACGAAAATCAATTGTATCTCCATCTGGAATGCAGAACTGCAGTGCTTGTAGGTTTATAGATTACTGCTGATAGGAAAATATCTTTATTTATCACAATAGTAACAAGACGACACGTGTGGCCTTCGATTTATTGACGTTAGTCATCTCCTTCTGTTCAAATAGAAGACTCGAAAACATTTTTAGAATTATAAAAAACTGTTGGCTGTCTTGATTAACTGGGACAATGTTTTAAAACAATCTAGAGAGAATAAAGTCTGACAAAGTGGCGGAAAAAGTTGGGTTAGGACTTACACACGTGTGGCCTTCGATTTGTTGACGTTAGTCATCTCCTTCTGTTCAAATAGAAGACTCGAATACATTTTTAGAATTATGAAACACTGTTGGCTGTCTTGATTAACTGGGATAATTTTTTAAAACAATCTAGAGAGAATAAAGTCTGATAAAATGGCGGAAAAAGTTGGGTTATGACTTACACACGTGTGGCCTTCGATTTGTTGACGTTAGTCATCTCCTTCTGTTCAAATAGAAGACTCGAAAACACTTTTACAATTATGAAACACTGTTGGCTGTCTTGATTAACTGGGACAATTTGTTAAAACAATCTAGAGAGAATTAAGTGTGACAAATTGGCGAACAAAATTGGGTTATGACTTACACTCTTTGCGAATCAAAATGGCGGACAAAATGGATGACTCCCGCCGCTTTCTCCCACCTCTTGATATTTCAAAAAATTTAAAACCAAAATTTTGATGGATTATAACGAGAATTTCGACGATATCAACGACTTAGAGAAGAAATTACGAGAAATTCTCATTGACCTTCACCTGAAAACCGTAAAAATTCAAATAAATAATAACAATTAACCCATTAATAATTCAGAAATCCCCAGGAGTCAGTGGAGAAGTGCCAGACTCAGCTATTCGAGGCACAGAATCTGAATGTCCAGCAGCAGATTATCCTGGAGAACGAGAGGAGGACTTCCAGGCAGATGGTGCAGGAGGTTCAGGCAGCTGTGGAGGTGATTGGACGTCTGGAGGATGAGAAGATCAGAGGGCAGACTGAAAGGGCTCGACTGGAGATCAATTGGGACACGTCACAGGCTGAGAGGAGTTTTCTGATGGACCAGGCGAGGACTTTGAAGCTGGAGAATGTGGCGCTGAAGCGGAGGACTGAGCTCCTGGAGGGAAAACTCCAGGAGGGACACCTGAGGGAGAAGAAGATCGAGGGAAAGGTCGAGGATCTCAAGCACCAGGTCACTGCCCTACAGGCTGTCATTAAAAAGTAATTAGAATTTTCTAATCAATTTCTCTTTCTTCAGTTTTAATCTTTAAAATATTCATATCGAATCCCCGAGATAAATTACTGGGGGGCACCTGGAACACCTGGAAATGGAATAATTCAGGATTAAAATTGATTTTGTTGGCAGTAATATTGAAAAATTGAAGAAAGAACAAACGCAATTGTTCGAATTCTTCCAAAATCTCGGGGAGATGAATTCAAAGGTTGAGAGGATCAGTCGATCCATCCTAATGAACACCAGGAAAGTCAAGGACGAGAGTCAGGAGCTGAAGGAGAAGCTGGAGATGACGGAGATGCTGCAGGTGCCCCTGGAGACCCCTCCCAATATTTCCAATGTGAGTCGTCTCAATATTTCGAAATCAAATGGTTTCATCGAAAAATGTCAGAGAAACTTTTTCCAGAGGATGAGATTGTCTACGAAAAAGGTTCAATAACTTTTTTGGATGAAACTGTTCTGTAAGGAGTAATTGCACAATTATGAAGTGGAATCTATTGAAAATTATTGTAAATGTGTCTAGACCTCAAATGAACTGATAGAATTCTCCGAAAAATTCCGTGTGAATCAGGAAATAGATGACAGACTCACGGAGCTCTGCGCCAGGATATCCTCCACTTGTCTCCAGACCCATCAGACCCCATAGACAAAGACAGATGTGGTAATGATGAACACAGATGTTAATAGGATTAATATAAAATGTATTATCATAGTCGTCGTCTGAATTGATGAAACAAATGCCAATATGGATTTTAAAATATCTTAAAATCATCCAATGAACCCGAACAATGAGCAAAATCGTGGGAAATCCCTCGTTAATTGCTAAATGCAACGTGGTTACAAAATCAATTGTTATCAAACATTATTAAACATGAAAAAATGTTATTTTCGTTTCTCGTCGGGTGTTTCGAGCATCACAATTATTTTCTGTTTATTATCCGTCGTGAAAAAGCTATATTCGGTAGTATTATGAACATACGGAGAGAAATCCCGGCCTTAAATTATTCTCTACATATCATCATTCACCTATACTTCTCATTATACGTGCTATTAAATGAGGAAATTGTTTTAATTGAGCAAGGGAGTGACAAAACCGATGTTAATTCCTTTAAAATTCACTTTTACTCTTTTCTTTCGCGAATATTTCGAGATCCGGTGGGTGTACGACAAAAAGAAATTCGACAATTTTTCTAGAGAATTTAATTCTACCCAAAAAAGGTCCCACAATTCTTTTCCGTACACCCAATACTTCAGGAGATACACACGAGAGACCGAATTGAGAAAAAAAGAGAATATACGAAATTGATGAAATAATTCTCATTTTCTTTCGTGGATATCTCAGGAACCGCTGGATTTGGAAAAAACTTCGTGGGAGCTTTTCCATGGAAAATTTCATTATCCACAATAAATTCCCCGGAACTTTTTCTCTAGATCCAATACTTCTGGAGATATCCACGAAATAAAGCAATCACTTCACTCCCTCCCTCAAAAAATCGAGAGATATCGATTGAATTGCAAGGGGAAGAATTAATCGATTACAACTCATTCATCTCCCAGTTAATGAACTGATTAAAACTGCCGCAGTCATGATTGTACTATCGAATGAGCGAATAAGTTCATCCCACCGTCATTATTTCCTCAATGCAAATACATAATTAACAGCTAGAGTAATAAAAAGATTCCTGTGCAATAGTGGATTTGGTCAACGGCCATCTCCCTGTGTTCCCGTTAATATCATCATAATTTCTTAGAAAATAACTAAACCAATTGTTTACTTTTATCTCGTTTTGTTATTTTTAAAATAAATTTGTTAAAATAAAATCAAATCTCGTCGAGATGTTTTTCATCACTCGCATCGTTGAATACTAGTTATGCATCCACAAACATTCGATGCGTTTGTATCTTCGATTGTCGCTGGTGAGGTGTAAAAAAATGGTTTTTACGATTGTAAACGGTTGACAGTGCAGACTTTATAATGATGGGTCAGAGTATAGTACATCTTGCCAACCAATTTGGTGGCTTTCTCGCTGGCTCTGACGCTTTAAGTTGATTTCCACCAGTTTTTGGTGGATTTGATGCCTCCTAAACAATAAAAACAATTAAATCAATTAAACAATAACTCAATCCTTCGTTTACCAAAAGAAAAAACTCATAAAACAAGGAATAATATTAGAAATAAACGGACAAATCCTTTTTCAATCGAAATAAATTGCAAAATTGGCGTGAAATTCGCAAACAATAAATCATTTTGCGAAATATTGTTATTTATTATTAAACATTGTTAATCAGCTGATGTGAGGCAGAGAGAGATAGGAATTACGAAAGAGATTGAGCAATTAATTAACGGTTTTAATGATGTGGGAAGGAATTCAAGTGGTTGAAGTGGGAAATTTATAGAAGAGAATGGAAAATCCATCATGCAAGACACAAGACGAATTAGTGAGTACAATTTTACCTTCTTCCGATACAGAACCCGCACCACAAAGAGATAAAGACATGAGGGACAGAGAAACAAATAAAATATCATTAGTAATTACGATAAACGAGAATATTTAGGGTAAACAGTGAAAGAAGAAAATTTTGTATTTCTGAAATAATTGATGTCGTTTTTCTTTTCCCCTTTCACTGGTCCTGGGGGCTGGACTGAAGCAAAAACCTACGAATTAATGGACTTTTCGTGGTCGTGGGACCTGGGGCTGAGGCTGAAGTAAAATAAATACAATCTCACCAGTTTTTTCTCCATTTTGGTCTTGATGTCTCTGGCCAACGTGTAAAAAGCTTCCTCCACGTTGATACTAGACTTGGCCGATGTCTCCATGAATTTAATACCATATTCAACAGCTAATTGCTCACCACGCTCCTTGGACACTTGCCTCCTGTCCGTAAGTTCACATTTATTACCTAGAAGCATCTTCTCGACGTCAGCTGATGCATTTTCCTCGATATTGCGAATCCAATTTTTTATATTCTCGAAGCTTTTCTCGTTTGTCACGTCGTAGACGAGCATTATACCCATTGCTCCACGATAATAGGCTGTTGTGATTGTACGAAACCTCTCCTGACCAGCGGTATCCCTGTATCAATCGATAATTCGAATGTGATTGAACAAATTGATTTTACAAGCTGCAGAGAAGAGATAGAGTGTTCTTGGGGAATATCTCCGGAATTAGGGGAGATAGCACGATTTTCGTTATGACCTTCTTTGTAGCTCTCGTTTTGGTCTATGAAAAAGGGTCTATTGAAGATTATTGTATCTCCCCTAGATTCAGAGATATTCTCGGAAACTCGGTGGCTTCATAAGTGGCGTTTACATTTCGCACTTTACCTCTTCGTTAATTAACTCATTGTTCTCAATTTTTTTTTATTGTATGCGCGGATTATTTGGTTAATGAGGATAATTAGAGTAATTACCATATTTGTAGCTTAATCTTCTTGCCGTCTAGCTCGATTGTGCGTATTTTAAAGTCAATACCTAAAAAATTTTTATGGATGTCAAATAAATGAAACAATGGAGTGAGAGATTTGGGAATATGTCGGGAGTGGGTGGATCTATGAGAAAACGTCAGAGGACTTTTTCGTGGGGAATTCAATTCTGAACAAAAAAATATTACAGTGTTTTGCCGTAGAATCAATAGGTATCGAGATAATTGAACGGTTGGTGATCGCGAACCCTCAATAACTCATAAATAAACATTTCTGATAATGAGTAATTTTATAAATAATTACCCCCCACCGTCGGTATTTCAAGAGAATATCTCAGAGGTAGAAAAAATCAAGTCATCCAACTAAATGATTTTGAATCGCAATTTCAACTGCAGCAACAACTGCAATTTAGCATCTAAATTTAGAATCTTTCGAAACAACTCCAATCATGAGACAACTGTCACGTTACAGAGTCATCAAACCCTCAATGCCTGACGAATGAATAAATAAATTCATGCCAACCTGATTTTCTGGGCCCCTAGGGTCCCGGGGCCTCAAAAATTCCCCAAAAAATCAGAATTAAAAAGAAACCCAAAGCACCGACCACTAAAATTCCAATTATCTCACTGACAAAAAATCCTAGCCGAAAATGTCAAAAGACATTTTTCGTAGAGTATGAAATTTCCCACAAAAAGTTCCTCCTAACTTCATATCCTCGGCTACTGGCTCACAAGATAATCATGATTTCCTAAATGTTCGATGGTTTCCCTGGAAGAAAATGAGAAAAAATTGATTGAGCCTTAATTATCGAGCATTTCATTAATTAATTACAGCTCTAGGTTAGGTCTCCCATGACACTGTGTTCATTGAGTCCCCGGGGGCCAAAAAAAAAAAATGACAAAGTCGTCTTTGTCCCGCGGTGATTCCCTCATTTCCCATGTCCGTAAAAAAAACTAGAAGAATCTCCTCCACGACGCACCCAGCCTCTATCATCATCCTATCCCCCACTTCACTCTTCCGGAGATAAAGAGGATGACTAATGATGGTCCCCAGCAATTATCTTCGAGAGAAAACCCTTGAAAATCTCAAGAATCTCAATTAAACCTGAATATTCCCTAGAAATTACCAAAACCTTCTCTCAAAACTCGTCAATAACTCCAGAATCCTAAAGATAATTAAAAAATCTCCCAACCAAACCTCTCCCCTCAAAATAAACCATAATTATCCCATTTTACCCCACATTCCCTAAGAAAAAATCCCACAAACAAAACAAAAATCACAAAGTGAAAACTCGTTTCGCCACCAGTCTGGTTTTCGACGAATACCTCAGAATCCATGAGACCTACCAAAAATTTCGTAATGAGCTTTTTTGTAGGTCTAAGCTCACTCTATAAAAAAGGTTCTATTCAAAATTCAGGTATCTCTCTAGGATTCAGAGGTATTGACGAAAATCCCAATGGACTCTATCTTTCACCCTTTTATACACTTTTTCTTTTGACGAAAAACAATTTTATTGCAATTAATCAATGAATTCTGTTATTATAGATAATTAGGATCAATTATGATGTGCCTGAATTAACCTATAATATTAATATTTATTGGAATAATGAAGCTCACCAATAGTTGATATAAAAGTGGTGTTGAAGGCATCCTCGGAGAACCTGAACAAAACACAAGTCTTGCCAACTCCAGAGTCTCCAATGAGCAACAACTTAAACAAGTAGTCATAGGTCTTAGCCATTGTCCTCGAGAACCACCCCAGGAATTTCCTAGAAGTCTAAACCCTTCACCCAATGGTTTTCTCAAATATCTACAAAAAGAAAATGTTCTTTAACCTCAATAAAATTCCACTCCACTTGATCCTCGCACTTTGACACACGATGTGAAGATGCAGATGCAACGTGGAGGGATTATTTCACTCCTGGATCAGTCTCGATGTCAATGTCGTATTTTTCTCTTCAGGAAAATATATCCCTCTCCCTTTCTGGGGGTACGAAAAAAAAATCGTCGATTGGACGAGGAATAGAGGAATTCGGAGCAGCTGGCACCTGCTGTCTCGATCATGAACTCAAAGTGCATTTCAGGACAGGGATGATTATTAAATAATTAATGAGGTAATTAAGAATCACTTACTTATGGATTTTTTGGTGGATCTTTTGGTGTTATTTCATCGATTGATTGTAATTTTTTTGCATCCTGGGGGAATATCCAGCACTTGGAAGATGATCACTTGGACCTTGACTTGTTTTTTCTAGAAATGATGTCATACGTATGACTCTCACTGGGGAATGACTAATTGCCTTCGGAATTTGAAATAATTAGGTGATTGTTTTGGGAATTTAAGGGGAGTAACGAGGTCTTTTTTTTGTTTCAGGGAGCAGGGCAGAGGTTGTAACGGGTTGTTGCCAAGTTCGACGAACTTCAAATGTCAAATAGGGATAATGTGAGGATTCTAAAGTCCCTACAGTGTAAATAAGATATTCTCACCCTAGAGTTTCACTCAGTATTCAGAAAGAATTTAAAATCGAGTGGCTATACGAAATTGCACCGATTTTCTGCTCAGGATCAGGTGAAACTATTTTATTTTGTGTTCAGCTGATGATATCTGTTGATTGGACGATGGAATTTTGTTGAGTTACATCTTATTTTGAAGATTGGGAAATATTCTTTGAGATGAAGGGATTTGGGATGGAGGAGATTTGAGAGATATTTATGGATTCGTGGTGATGACCTTCAGGTGCAGATGACAGCAACGGATTAGTGAGGGAATAATGGATCAGGCACATTCAGCTTACAATCGCAATCGCAGTGATAAAATTAATATCAAGGAGTACTTCGAGGAGTTCGAGAAGCTCTTGACACCTGTGGAATACGAGAACCTCAACGAGATTTTTTTCGAGAAGCAGCAATTGAATATTCTTAAAGAAACCTGCAGGTGATTATTTCTATAATTCCCTTTTATCATTTGTTTTTTATATTTTTTTCTAATCATTGGAGTAGTATTGATAACTTGAGCTTCGAGGGAGAGCCTGAGCCCTGGAAAAACGAGAAGGATGCCGCTGAAAAGGCGGAAAACATCCCAGATGACACAAAACTCAAAACTCTGGGGAAACTCAAGGAAAAATACAGAAAGAACCAGAAAAAAAATGGGGATTCCACCAAACAATCCAGTGAAATACCAATTGTGAGGGGCAATTACTTCATCCTCTGTATTCTATCTCTTCATCTCAATTTGGAGAATAATTCCCAGGTTGTTTATGGAGTATTGTATTTTAGATTTATGAAAAATCCGAGATTCTTGGAGAGACAGCAGTTCCTGGGAGAGAGGTCTTCGTGTCTGTCAGGGTTTATCATCCCTGCAAGTCTGACATGGATGCCACGTTCAAAGTCAGTTTATCCTCGGTGATTGTGATGTTGGGGAACCAGACGTTGGATAAATTGAGAGACAAAATAAATTGCATTTCGGATCTGTCAATTGCTCGAGACCTCAGTGACGAGCCCCTGGGGAGAGGTGGAGGGATTGCCAATAGGGTGATTAAATAATTCACTCATTTGATGGTTTACATGATTTTTTAAATATTTTTCTGGGGGTTTGCAGGATGTCTACAAGTCAGGATTCTTCTACATCGAAGGGACTTTTTATAATGACATGAGGGATGAGACAAATAAAGATAACAGCGCTGTGATAAGGACCTGGGGGGAGGCCAGGGAGCTGGGGCCATTTCAGACAGCCAGGATGGAGGAGACACGAGTGGACTCCCTTTGTCTGAGGTTTGGATACCCCTGGGTCTATCAGCACCAGGGGACCTGTGAACATCTCATCGTCTTCAGTGATGCCAGGTGATTGTACGCTATTATCTCCGTAATTAATAGGTGCACGAGAGAATGTCATACGACTTTTCCTGTGGGATATTTCATCCTGCATGAAAAAGTCGTCTACCATTTTTTTTGAAAATCCACTCCGTAACGAGATAATTAAGAAATTATTGGCGGGGGGCTGATTCGTATTGTTACGGTAATCAATCGATTAATCATCGAATTATCTCGATAATTAGTGGGTTCATGAGAAAATGGTAGATTTTTTTTTTCTGGGGAATTTGAGTCCTGAGCGAAGATTTTTTTAAGGATTTTTTTTTTTCTCTGCAGATTAGTGAATGCCGACGACGACCTTGACATTTCCCACTACCCGAAGATCGACAGGGTGAAGCCGACGAGGTGCCATCTCTGCATGTTGTGCAACAGTCGTTCACTCCATTGGATAGTGACTGAGAGTGACAGAGTACCCCATGATCCCTGTTATTTCTGCGAACAATGTTTTTTCTCTTTCAATTACTTGAATGGCCAGAAGCTGGGGAAATTCAAGGCCTACAGATACCCCTACGATCCTAAAATCATTGATCATTGCAACGACGTCCTCTCCAGGATGGAGGAAGACTGACAGTCCCAATAATTATAACAATCGCACTTGCGAATAAAACGATTTTATTAAAAAACTTTGAGCTTCTGCTTTTTCAATAAATTCTGGAGTTTCTTCATGTTGTCAAGGGCACTCTGAGCTCCAGGATTTATCTCCAGGGCTTTCATGTACATCTCCTCCGCTGTGGAGTACTTGTGCCATCGGTGGTAGAGAACACCTGGGGATTTCATTATCATTAAAACATCAATCCCATAATCGAGTGCTAATTATGAGGAGAGTATTCTGGGGATACCTCGAAAACTAGTGGTCGTAGAAAAAAAAGGTAGTAGCAATTCTTCTGCAGAATTAAATTCCCCGCAAAAAAGGTCTTATGATTTTCTCCTCTAAATCCGCTGGTTTCGGAGACATTCCCAGAATAAGAATGAGGAGAAAAAATTATCTACCCAAATTCGTGAAAATCGTTGGATTCCTGGGGTCCAGTCGCAATGCATTCCTGAATTCCTCCTCAGCCTCTGGGAATCTCCCAAGTTTCCCCAGGATGTTGGCGATATTCAGGCGAATTAATGCGTCCTCAGGGAACAGTTCCATCGCTTTTTCCCCCATCTCCAACGCTTTCTCAGGTAATTCTGGAATACAAACAAGAATCAGAGGATTAAATGGTTTCTGGGGGATTCTCCAGGTACCTAGGTCATCCAGGAGTCTAATAGTGTTGGTCCACGCTCTCCGGTGCTTCAGCTTCCTGGAAATGGCATCCTCCCAGGCGACGAGGGCCTTGGAGTATCTTTTCTGCTCCATGTACTGTTTTATTTCCATTTAAAAAATATTGATAAAAAATTCCAATTCCATATTTTTATTTAGATAACTATTTAGTTGCCTCACCAATATCCCTAAATTGTAATAACAATCTGGACAATTAGGTCTGTGCAGTAATGAAGTCATGTAACAGCTCTCAGACTCTTCAAATTTTTTCAATGCCGAGAGAACGATCCCTAGGTTCATCCAGGCCGCTGCAAAATCCTCTCTGACAATTTATTTTCATTTACATCTATTCATCGAATTTTTATTAAAATCAGGCCTGAATATCGAGGCCTAAATGAATAATCAATGAAAAAGAAATTGAAAAAATTGAAAAAAAAATGAAGAGATTGAAAAAATCAGATAATAAAATCTCACTGGAGCTCGATGGATCGTCTAAGCAGGTGTTCCGCATCCTGGAACCTTCCCTGATCCTTCAAGAGATTCCCCAGGTTGTTCATCGCCTGGGAGTACTCAGGGTGAAGCCTGAGGGCCTCTCTGTACTCTATCTCTGCCAGACTGACGTTCCCCAGGTCAGCTGCACTCTTCGCCACGTTGTAATGTGCCTTTGCATTCAGTGGACAGACATTCAGGGCGGAGCGAAAGAGAGTGACCTCAGTCCTCCACTCTGCACTTCTGCTCCAGGATCTGGTGAACCAGGTGATGATCAGGATTGTGTACATCAGGAGGGGAAGCTTCGGACTCGAGAGGATTTCACAGAGTTTCTGGAGGCTGACAGCCAAGAGGAGACAGTAACCAGCTGAGGGCAGGTAGAGGGTCCTCTCTGCCAGGACGAAACCCACGGGGAAGAAGAGATTGCTTCCTGGGAGAAAGGGAATCACCAAGAAGCACAGACCTGTCAAGATGTATCTGGGCAGAATAATTATTTTTGTCAATATTTTATGAGGAAATTGTTAATTAATTGTTTATGAATTGCTGATGGATTGTTACCTGGACTGGTCTCGACGTGGTGTCCTCAGGATGACAACGACGAACAGTAATAAAAAGCACCAGAAGCCAATAATTGCAAATAATCTCAAGTCCCAGCCAATAATCAGGGGAACACTGCCCATGGACCAGTCGAAGGACAACCAGTGGGGGCAGATGAGAAGCCACAGATTGAGGGAATAAATATACTGATAATTCAGATAACGTAGATAAGAGGTGTGTAAAAAAGACGTGGGATTGTCGACAGCCTGGAAAGTCGGTGGTGAAAAGCCCATGAGACTGAATCTCACCCCCATCAGTACAACTCCAGTGACAATTAACGTGGATAAACGAATAATAAATCTGTAATTGTCAACAATTGTCGATCTAACGTCTGCTAGGGTCCACAATCCCTGGGAAATTTGCTCGTGAAGTTTTGTAAACTCGTAGACGACGCAGAGACCCTTGAAAAGTAATTACATGATTAAATTCAGTTGCTAATTTGTAATTACTCAGAGACTTACAATTGCTGTGATTCCCGTCTCTTTGCACAGCATTCCAGCAGTTATAAACATCACGCACATCAACAAATATAGGAACATTTGGTTTAAACGATTGCAATAAATTGTTTTGTCGTAGGATAAAATGGAAAGCCAAACGAACATTGCACTGAGAACATCTGCTCTTCCAACAATTCCTGATACCTGAAGAACAATCGAATGATTCAAACAATCAGATAATAATTGAGCGAGTTAATTATTAGTTATTAATTATTCAATGGATTTTACTCACAGCTTCACAATGAATTGGATGAACAGCAAAAAGTACAGCACCATAAAAAGCTAAATATCTCTCCTTCCTCTTGACTAATTTTTTAAAAACAATAAGTGTCAACACAGAAACAACAGAGTGCAATATTAAATTGATTATGTGGAAATCCGTGGGCTCCAGGTGACCCCTGAGCCAGTGGTGAATCCTGGAATTCAAGAATGAAGAAGAATTGTTTCAATAAATTGTAAATAATTGATCGGTCAAATTTGTTCATCGATTTACAGACAATTTACCATAAAATCATTTGTTATAATAATGTAAGAAATGATTTTGTGTCTTTAAAATTATTATTTTTAATTAACCTGAACGTCAGGATCGTCAGAGGTCTGTAAGAACGATGACTCTGTTTATGAGTCAATCTATTCCCCCAGAAATCATTAACAAAAACCTTCCCCAAGGGACTCGTCGACACGTCCGGATTGTTGACGACAGCTGGTGAATCGTCGAAGACAAAATCTCCATCGTAGGAATTTAAAAAGCAGAATGAAGCCATCAACACAATCAGGACCTCATAAATACTGGAAAGGACTGAAAATAATTGATAAAATCATGGAATTGCAGTCAAGACGAGTGAAAAATTATTTTGGAGTGCCAAAAGGTGTTTGACGTTTGATTCTCTCACCAGGAAGTCGTGGGGAGCCTTTTCCGCCCATTATTGAAGCTCCAGGCGATGATTTCATCCTCCTGTCATCTCATTTTGCTTTTACTCATTCTCCTCGGGGTTTAGTCGACGATTTTCGTGGATATCCAACATTTTAGGTTAAACATCAACAAGTACACCTGTCACTCCTCCCCACCTTTGCCACCCAATGGAATGCGCCCCAATTTCCTATTTCTGGGCAATTCCAATCGATTGTCTGGAATTCCACTGGAATTCTGATACAAACGTCAATGGGATTGAATTTTTTCCCCAGAATTCTTGGGAGTAACATTTTAATGGTTCAGATGTAATCAATTTAAACTAAAGTATTTATTTTTATTAAGTTTTACAGTACAATTAATTATATAAAATGAATCACCATCATGCGTAATAGGATGGAGGGACATTCAGATCTTGGAGAATGCCCAATTGTTCTTCTGTAAAAGATTGGGCATGTAAGGCCCATCCGTCGTAGTGGGTCCTCTTGAAATCACCTAGTGTATTCCTTATTGTCGTCTGGAGAACAAAAAAAAGTCGTTAATTTCCAAATCTGCAGATTATTCCAGAAGATGGTTAAAGGATTCAGCCTCTTCCTTCTCTTCCTCTTCCTCTTTATACGATTAATTATGTAGAAAAATCCATTGTTTTCTTTTTGCAAGAGGTTTCAATGGAATTAAATAATTTTCACTCACCGGAATTGGCTGTGGATCATTGAGACGATAATTGAGGTACTCGAAGATAAAAGGCACATATTTTGGTACGTCATAAGGATGTGCTCGTACGAATGCACACAGTCCAAGAACTCCAGCGTGTCTCAACCTCAGATCATCATTTTTTTTAATCTTAATCTTCGACTTCAATTTGAACTCGTCCTGAAATGAATTCATAATTAGCATTAAAAAATACTGAGCGAAATAAAAATAGGGAACTCACCAGCAGTGCCTCAGGTTCAGGAAGAAAAGTGCAGTGGAGTAGTCCACAGAGTACCTGTCCAGCCTTCTCCCGGACCTCGACCCTCTCGTCCTCGAGCATCCTGAGGACAATTCCCTGGATCCTGGCGACCCACTCACCCTTGCTGAGGATGACCCCCATGTTGTAAAAAACAAATACCTCGAGAAAACTGAGGCAAGAATTTTTGGCAGACCACGAGCTTTCCTTGAATACAGCCTCTACATCTCCGAGGATCATGTCCATCTCCTCAGGTAATGCCTGGGTCTGTGCAAACGCAGAAATGGCCCTATTGCAGTTGAATCTGAGCTCATCATCGCCCTCGCAGTTCTCCACTTGACAGAAAACAGTCAACAATTTTGTGGATTCAGGAATATTTCCCTGATCACTGGTGAATGAATGAGCGACAATCCACTTGCACACAGTCTTCAGAAGGCCGATTTCAGTTTTTCTCGCCTCGAGATCAGTAGCATCGATATCAGAGAGCCCCAATAGCTGTGGCAGAACACGATTCATAAACTCCTTGGACCTGGGGCACATTTTCTCAGCCTCTGGACTGATCTTGTGGTAATCAGTCGAGAATATGAGTGTCAGGAGACTCCCCATGCTCTCCCTGACATTCTGAAAGGGATCAGCAAGCAACCGCTTCTCCACCCTCTCCAGAAGCCTCGCGCAGGGCTCAGATATCCTCCAGGACTGATTAACAAGAGATGCCTGGAGGATGAAGAGTCTGTGACACTCCAGGAAGGACGCAGTGGTGTTTGCTATCGCTGGCTCCTCCATCAGGCACTCCAGCAGCCAGTGATGTCTGTTGGGATCCCTTCGCCTGAAGCTCTGACCAAAGCAATTACCCCAGTCCCTCGATGTCTCAGGTGTCACGTTCTCCAGGGCTATCCTGATAACTGGAAGCATCTGGTCCCACATTTTCGTTACCATCGAGAACTCCCAGTGCTTGGAGCCTCTGATAACACCTGCTATCAGTTCAGCTGCACACAGCTGACTGGCCTCCTGCTTCTGTGTCACCAGATTCAACAGGTGGGGAATAAAAATGTCTAGGATGTCAACCCCATGATTTCTGAAGATGCCTTTGTACAATTGAAATCGTAATCCATTGAATTTGTCACGACCCTTTCGATCCTCAAGGCTGTGGAATTTAATTAACCTGGTGATGTGGCTGGGATCCTTGATGAAGCGATCCACCAGCAACTCCGAGGGGCTCATCTTCCTGGTGGGGCCCAGGGGGGGTTGACAGGGAGCTGGTGCGTACATTTCGAGTTTCTTTGGCCATGTGTAAAAACCAACGTAGGGCGCGTGAACGTATCTATTTTCATTCCACTGATCCTCAGTCAGAGGACGTGTCGAGTGATTGTACTGGAGAAACAGATTGTCATCTCGTATTCCTGGTATTTGGCACGACATCTTCGGGGGATCAATCTCAATTTTTTTGTGCTTCCTCTTGAGTTGCCTGAGGATAGTCACCATGGTGGGAATGGCGATTTTACGTTCCTCCAGGGAGTCGTGGAGGAGAGCGTTGAGGAAGTAGTTGATGGCCCTGAGGGTGTAATTCCTCTCAGAGTGGGCGAGGTCACGTAGGATTTTCATACCCATTGACCTCTGCCGCCAGTGGCAGTTGTGCTCGATTGCACTGACGATGGCATCCATGAGGCCCTCATAATTCTCGATGTTTTTAGTCTCCAGCTGCTTCAGCTCTTCTAGCCCCACCTGGATCTGCCCCTCGGTGGGTCGAGGGATCGAGGGTCGAGGGGAGCTCTCCCACATCTCCAGGGCAAGCTCTACACATTTTTCAGGGACGTTGAGCTTAATTGAGAAATTCTGGAAGCCACTGAAGATGGTGTCGGTGACACTCTTCTTCAGTTTGATGATGGATTGCTTCTCTGAGGGTTTGGACTTGACGAGGGCTGGCCAGAGGCTCCTCAGGAAGCTCCAGTCCCTCGTATTGACGAGGGCACCTTCCCTGGGACCCAGCAAAAGGTAAAGCAGTCCCTTGTGGCCCTCGTGGTGCTCCTCTGGGTTTCTCCCCAGCATCTCCACGAGGTGGGGCTCCAGAGATTTATAACTGTCTGAGAAATACGTGTGCGCCATGAACAACAAGTCCTGAGGAGTTTTCCTGACGTCTGCATACATGCTGGTAGCTAGATTGAACAACTGGAGGATTATGTCCTTGTGGATGGCTCTGAAACAGTAAAATCTCGCGTAGATTCTCATCTCGTGCTGGAGCTCAGCTCTCTCCACGATGTACTCAGCCAGGTACTTCCTCTTCTTTATTAGATCGTCCCTCAGGTCGACCTTGAGGATCTTCATGGCGGTTGAGTGCCGGCGATAGCTGTCCACATAACGATACTGCCCCAACAGCAGAAAACTCCAGATCATCGGCAGAACCTTCAAACTTTTGGTATCATCCTCAGACGATTTGAGCATCATTTCCTGGAGTGAACAGACAACTCTCACCAACTGCTGGCGTACATTTCCACCGTCTGGCATCGTCACTTCACCCTTTACTCCCAGGGTAGGAATTAATTCGTGCTTGCTGCACTTGGTGTCGTCCTCTGGCAGTGGAAGGAAGGCGATGCAGCCCTCGATTATTCCAGCTATAATATTCAAACTCGTCCTCAACTCTTGTCTTGTGATCGAATTGCCTGTCTCCACGTACTCCTTTATCCTCTCAATCTCCACTGGGAGGTACCTGTTGAAGATCTTCTGGATCATGGCAATCTCCTCCTCCCCAGGGACATACCACTGCAGCTCCATCTCGTCGATGTCTGCCCCCTGGCCCCAGTCAAGGACGTGGGGATAGTCAGGATCGTTGTAGTCCTTTCCATTATACATGCAATTGTAGAAGACAGCTGTATGGGAGAGGGAGATTAACATGAACCTGAGAATCCTGGAGGCGAGCTTTGAGCCTTCTCTGGACTTCAGGTGGAGGGTCTTGTCGAGGATCGCTATGAGGGTCTCCACGTGGGGCATGAGGTCGTGTCCCCTCGTGTCCGTGATGTTGGCGACCAGGAGGAGAGCATAGAGCAGTCTGTCATCAAGATTCTCCTCTTTGGCAGCATCTCCCTCCTCAACGAGCTCTTGAATTGTCTCAGCTAGAGTCGGTAGCAGAGCCTTCAGGGTTTCCCTGCCATTGATCCTTGAGAAACTCCTGCACAGGGAAGCCACCAGTGGCCCTGAGATCCTCGTCTCGAATACCTTCTCCGTGACAAAAATCCTGAGCTTGTGCAGCGCTGATTGATAAATATCAGTGCTTGTCCTACGGAGAAGTCTCGTGCAGACCGACGCCAGGGCCATCTCTACGAGTCCCTCCACTTTACTTTTACCTTCGTTTTCCTGGGTCTCATGGGAGACGTAGTCCAGGGTACTCGACTCGATTAACGAGAAAATTCTCTCCAAAAACTGGAGGAAAAAGTCCTCAAACTGCGCAGTCTCTTCGCATACCTCCCTCTCGTCCTCGTGGATGTTCTCCCCGATTGCTCGGGATGAGTCTGTCAGGGGAATCATCGTGGAGAACACTGAGATCAGTCTGAAGGTGGCAAATGATTTCACCAGGTCGTTACCATCGATCCCTGGAAGGGATGACATTAGCAGAGGAATAACTCGGGATGGGCCTTCGTTGTACGTGTAACCGGTGTTGACGTTTCTTCGTCCTTGGAGAAGGGGTCGGGCTACAGCAGTGACGGCTGCCATGGAGGCGGTTAATTTGTGGGGTTCCGTGAGGGAGTCCAGGGTGGAGAACATTCTCTCGATTACGTGGGGTATTACCATGTTGGGACGAATTGTCGCGAGGAGTCTGAAGACAGTGAACGTTGCGTTGATGCTTGACTGTCCGAACATCGCTGTCATGGCAACTGGCATCATCGACGTAACGAAGGCGTCGACGTCGGCGTCCGTCAGCTTGTGGGAATCGGGTATGGGTGTCTCCCAGGTTGTCCTGGGGTATCTCTCGGCGTTGAGACGGTACACGAATTGCGTCGCCAATTTGCTGAGAAGATCCTTCAGCTTGTCCACCCACGGGCCTGTATTCGCCTGGTAGAAGTACGTCTCCACTGTCTTCAGGAGTTTCTCCAGATGGAATTGACCTGGGGAGTCATTTCCTAGGATTGATACGATCCACAGAGCTATCGATTGCGTATCCATCTTGTGGAATTTTCCACAGTGAATGTCTTTGTAGTAAACTAATAAATTCAGGCAACGGATGAACCTGGTGAACATCAGGGGAATGTGCGGGGTCCAGTCGATGTAGCCGACGTTCTTGGAGGCGAGTTTAGCCATCAGCCACATCATCGATTGCTGCCATGCCCCGGCGTTGTGGTATGTATCCCAGAGGCTCATTAATTCGGTGAACCACAGGTGAAATCCTGAGGCGTGGTGTTCCGGGGGCAGCTGGACCGGCAGGAAGTTGTTGAAGTCGTTCATCGTTCTTGTCATGGTTGAGGGGTCCAGTGGGCAGATGTAGGGACGGAGCTCGTCGAGAATTTCCTGAGTGGCTGACACCTGGGGATTAATTCAATCAGAAGTGATTAATAATTATATTCTTTCCTGAGATTACCGAATTTATCCGGCGATATCTCAGGAACCCTCAGGTTCAGGGGAAAAAGTCAAAGTCATTCATGTAGGGAATTTAATTCTCTACAAAAAAAAGATCCTCTACAAAATTCCTCTAAATCGACTCAGGCTCGAGATACATAAAAAAAGTGGTGCTACTCACTGGGAAATAATTTTTCGCTAAACTAATAAGATTGTTGAGAAGTTTGGAGAGTCCAGGAAGTGGACGATGCATTCCAGACGACGACACACTGACTTTCAGGAGCCTCTTCTTGAGGTGATACAGAGGTCTCCAGGGTAATTCCAGGTCACTGGGAGTCAGGAGTTTGGTCTTCTTGAGGAGATTAACAAGAGTGGAACCAAAAATATCCAACAGAGACGAATCCAAATCAGGAATTGTCGACAACTCGTACATCAATTTGACGAACATGATGTGATCCTCCTTGGTGAATCTCAAGCTGTACAGCTTCATGTAAACCTGGAGCTTCATCGTAGCATAAGCACAGTCAGGGTCGAGTTTCCTCAAGGCCACAGCGTTCCCCAGCTGTCCCTTGATCTCACCAAGAAGACACATAGCCTCTGCATTGAGCTCATCAGCATAAGGTAATAATTTATTGTACTTATTCGTCATCTGGAACTCAAGCCCTAGACTCTCGGTGGATGACTCCATGGTGACATCGTCCTCCTCATCCTTACCGAGGATCTCCTCCATCGGCTGACTATGCACAAATTTTTCCACTAACGTATTCATTGTGTCGAAATAAAATACCGATGTCCAAACGTACGTTGATCACCGAGGAGTGTTAATGATGCTCTGGTGATTAATTCCACGACGACTTGCTTATTGCTTCATTTTTCATCGAGTCATGTCCCACTGGTGTCCGCCATACTTGACTAATTGTATATTTTATCAGGTGATTGTTGGAGACAAAGGCAGCTGTCACCTGCCAATTTAATCGATGCAAGACGAGTTACTCTGGGTGGCTGGAGCATTCCCAGGGGGTGATTAGGCCGATTAATATAGATTACTTGGTTAAATAACAAAGGAAAAACTAACAGCAAATCGAATAATGAAATTAAATGATTGAAGTGCGCGCGCAACTCGCGGGAATCACCTGATCGACATTTAAATCTTATTCTTCGTGAAAATTAATCGATTCTCGTATGCCTATCATTTATTCCTACATAACACCTATTATTATTGATGAATCTTATTATTATTAATATTATTAATATTATTAACACTATTATATACTATTATTATTTGTTATGAAATAATTAATGGAATAAAATCGATTTTTTTCGGTGATTATATTGTATTGGGGAAGTAATACGTCTTTTAGAGGTGGGATATTATTTATTGAGTAGATTGTATTTGTTTATTTAACAATATCGTCGACTTCGAGTCCTTCGTTGATGTACAAGGGAAGATCCTTTTTCTTCCGGTCTTCCGCCCATTTCTGTCTCTCTCCGGATGCAAAGAGACCGTAAATTATTGCACCTATTAGGTATATACTCCCGGCGATGATGAAGACGATCCTCCACTCCGCGGGACTCTGAGATCATCAATGAAGATGATTAAGTGATAAAGAAGTTGAAAAAAATCATCTATATTCACTGCATCATTTTAAAAAGGGAATATCTCCGAATCCAGAGGAGATACCGCGATTTTGTTACTGACCTTTTCTCTAGGGCGATTTGAGATCTACAAAAAAGGTCGTAACAAAAATTTCGGTATGCGCGTTGGATTCCGAGATATTCAGTGAACACCGAGTAATTTTATAATTGACTTGAACGGTTTTGTCGATTGCTTCGCCAGTAATTACTGCAATTACTTGGACTATCGTACCTTATCCCGGACGATGTAGCCGGTGATGATCGGACTGACAATTCCAGGAAGAGTTGCAATGGTATTTCCTATACCCATGAGAACACTGGCATGCTGGGGTGCGATATCCAGATGATTGACACTGAATCCGGACCAGGCAAAGCCCCCAAGACCTACAGCAACTGTTATACAAGCTACAGCAGCACTTGGTGACCCTACGAAGGCCGAGAGGATCATGAAGACTGTCTGGCAGAGGAAAGCCCCGCAGTTGAAGGTTTTCCGCACCTTTTTCCGAGAAGAAAATCGTTGAAACATCGAAAATTCCCATTCAGTCCCCTCCCATTTACTCAAATCAATTCATAATTGATCCTCGATTACTTCTAATTACCTGTGTCGTCGACAGGACATTCTTTGTCCTCAAATAATCCGCCAATTGTCCAGAGCATTGGAGGACAATCGCCATGACGAGATACGGAAGAGCCGACAAAAATCCTGTCTTCTCCAGTTTGAAATTCAGGACATCTAGATAAGAAGATTATGACGGTGTATTATCGCTCGTTATCACCCCGGGGACCCGAGGGTTTGGGGTAGTTAGGGATGGGTGAATTAGGGGTAATAAATCATGCATTACCACTCATAAATGTGGGTAACTGTGTCAGCATTGTGTAAAATCCCCAATTTTCACTGAAATGAGCTGCCACTATCGCCCAGACCGGTGGAGATGTCAGGATTGCCCTCCACGGGTGTCTCACTTGCTGTATAATCCAATCCAGTCATTGAAGTAATTAATTAAATAATTAAAAAGTCATTAAATCTATCAAAACGCTGACCCTTGGGTATAACATGGAATTTACTCTGTTAAATCCCGATAAATCTCGAGAACTATCGACTTTATGGAGAAATAGTATAGGACCTTTTTTATCGAGAATTTAATTATCTAGAAAAAAGTTAATTACCATTTCGTCGATAAATCGATAGTTTTCGAGATAAACCTATGATTATCTAAGGTACGATATGGGTGGATTTGAATTAGTGAATGTTGCAAATGAAATTGTTATTAATTAATTGACCGGTTGGACTCACTGCTCTGTCGGTGTGTCCTAAGGATGCCTTGATGTACTCCAACTCCTCTCTCGTGATCCTGGGATCGTCTTCTGGTTTATCGGCGACGATATACCACCAGAAGGCGAACCAGATGAGTCCCAAGACCCCGAAGACGTAGAAAACTGAGGGCCAGCCCCAGTATTCAGCCATCAGGCCCGATGCTGGCATCGCAAATACTGTACCTACGAAGCTGCCAGAGAATGCCAGAGTCGCCAGTTTTGATCGCTCCAGGGGAGGGGCCCAGTAGGCCCAAATCGAGTGGATGCAGGGGTAAGTCACCCCCTGAAATAATTATCTTCTCAATTACACGGTTATCTGCAAAACCACTGATCCAATCAAAAAACCGCAAATAACTTTTTTGTAGTTCTTTAAATTTAGGGCAAAAAAGGTCCTATAATATTTTTCTCTAGAATCGATAGTTTTTTTGGATTTATCGATTTTTAACTTCAACTCTGGAGTGGAGTGCAATCAGAAAATTTTTGATAATTCTTTCGAATTATTGATTTATCTTGAAAACTATCGACTTGAGATGAAGGTGGTAAGGAACTTTTTTATAGCAGATGAAATTTTGAATAATTGTTATTATTTGATGTTTTGTTCTAGAATTGATAGTATTCGGGATAAATTAGTATTTCTAAGAGGAAAAATTTCAATAAGCGATTCGTTTCATTCTGAATTGATAATTGAGTTTGGATCTGCACCTCGAAGACTCCCTCGATGACCCTCAGGGCGACGAGGACGTAGACACTGACCCTGGTCAAGGGTGGAGTGATTATCGTGAGAAGGGCTGTCGATGCTATACCTAGACCAAATATTTTCTTTCCTCCCATCCTCGCACTGAGCCATCCACCCAGAAATTGCGTGCTGATATATCCATAAAAAAACGAGCTCAGGACGAGCCCCTGGAGTTTCGAGTCCCAGTCGAACTCAGGCTCATGCTAAAATATATTTTTTCACCGCCTCAAATCATCAAAACGAAAAATTTCCAAAAATTGCATTTTTTCAATTTTCCTAATCACCACTTTTTCCTCATATCTCGCAATCCAGCGCAGATATCGAAATATCCATAATTACCTTTTTTGTAGATCTCAGCAAGTTCCTCAGAAAATGTCATTACAAAAATTTTGATATACCCCCTAGATTCCGAGATATTCTCCAAAAACTTGCAGCTAAGTTAAAAAAACTCTTCTATGGATTTGTTTAATTAATAAATTCAATTATCAGATTAATTTTTTATCGTCCATGGCATTGAGCACTGACCTCGGCAGACTTAGATGTCATTGCGACAATTGCAACACTCAAGTTGACTCGAAGGATGTAGGATATAAAAAATCCCAGAAATGCGAGAAAACCCACGACAAATCGTCGTTTTCTCCAGAATCTCCAGCCGACATTTTCATTCTCCAAACGCTCCTCTCTATTAACACTAAAAACAATCCAAATCCATGAATTCCCATTAAAAAAACCCACCAATTAATTAAACAATTGCAATCACAATAATAACGCAGGAAATCAACGAGAAATCGAGTGGATGCAATTTCAATTATTTAAAACGAAAAAATCCTGAAAAAATTATAAAATTCTTCCGCCAGTCAATTCCTGCAAAAATGTTTTGTTTAAAAAACAATTGCACAGCAAGACCTCGAGGGAATTGTTTGCAATTCTTGGAATGGTTGAGATAAATTTTAATTACGTAGAGTGAAATAAACAATAAAATTACCTTCCATACGACTCCTTCGTCGTCTCCAGGTGCATCTCCCTCGTCTCCATAATTCCCGACAAATCAGAATTCTTAAAAAATGGCTAATCCCATTAACCACGTTATCACTAGCGTTATCAAGCCCCTAAACTCCGCATATTTACTCCGACATTATCGAATTCCCTCGACAAAGTCACTGAAACATTCACAAGCCTTCGATTACCCAATGCCGAAGAGATCGAAAAGGAACGGGACTTTCACTTCACCAGGACTCGACATTGACATATAGAAAACTTTTCCTCGAGTTCAACATCTAATTAACTAAATTCTAATCAATTCCGGAAGTCCATTCCGATTTTTTCCATCAATTGCGTTTTAAAAAAACCGCGATAATCGCGAGCTCGAGGAATTCCGAGGAATTCCGAGGAATTCTACGGTCCAATAGGGAATCGATATTAAAAAAAATACTTAATTAATTAAAAATTGATAAACATTGAGTAATTCCAAAACGATCTGCGAAATTGAAATCAATGCGTTTTTTTAAACTCCAGTTTTTCCCCGATTTCTCAAAATTGAAGAGAGATTATGATATTTTCATATCGACACTTTTTGTAGCTCTTATTTTTATCTGCAAAAAAAGTATTCACCAAAAAATCGATATGTTCCTTCAATCTCGAGATATCGGCGAAAAACTGGGATAGAAAAAACTGCACTCAACGTAAATCACGATTTTATCCCTCAATTCCCAGCGAAATAATAATTAATTTACAATTAAATCTCGAGATTATCCTGTCGTTAATCAATAATAATTAATGATACCAATGATTTCCTCAGTGCGGCACCAGAGGAATTCCCCCAGGGGTTAAATTCCTCCGGGAGTTCTGGAAATTCTAGACCAGCTGTTGCACTTGCACTGAAATAACTCGCGAATTGATAACGCACGGAAGTCAACGGTTTAACTGGTTACCGCCAAGTACTGTCAGTACTTTTGGTACTCCCCTCCCCCCCTTTTCTTGCCGAAAACCGGAAATCGCGAGTCAATCCGCGTCGTATTGCGATATCATTATTTATAATAACACTATAATTATAACAACTCAAACAAATAATAATTATTACAACAGTACTAAAATATCCAAAACAATTATTCATCTTAATAATAATAATAATAATAATAATTAGTTATTAATTATCAATTTCCAGTCGATTCCACATTTTTCAAAATCTTAAATAACAATAAAAACGTGGAATTATTATTTATTATTATTAGTATTATCATTATAAATAATATTTCTATTTGAGTCCCACGGGCCTTATCCGGGAATTGTGTGGAGGGGAATATTGTTGTGGAAAAATCGATTGAGATATTTTCCAAGTGTTTAATTGCTTTTTCAATTATTTATTATGAAATCGATCTTCTATGAAAGTTTGCTCTCTCCATGGTTAGGCCCTATAAGGCCCTTGGGATTGGGAGGCCCGAATTCTCATTGTCCCGTAATCTCTGAGGGTTTTACAATCGCTGACTAATCGAGAATAATTAATTTTCCCAGAAAAAAAATTAATCAGTCATTAGAAATTCGAAGAATTGGAATTATTTTCATCTTGACCTGAAAATTGTTTTCGAAATTAATGAAAATTCTCAATGATTCCGTGAGTAGTTGATATGTAATGACTATCAGTCTAATTATCCGCTGATATATGATTTTAATGAGTCAATTGAATTGGAATGGTATGAGTAATGAATAAATTGATAATCGGTAATTAACAATGCGGTATTTATTTATTTTCATAGATATTTTCAGAGGCTGACCCCGCCACCTGGGAGATTATTTTCCTTGATAAGGAGTGACGGATTATCAGGAGTTCCGAGAGCTGAAAGATAAAAATTATCAGTTCTCAACGCACATTTCTCTAAAAAGGTGTCACAGTGCGTTGTTACTCTACGAGATGAGGTTCTTAGCTCTAGTAATTGTTCTGTTCCTCCAGAATGCGAGTTCCCAGACACAGGATGTCAGTGATTACGGTACGATATTCATTAATTATTCTGTTAATTAATTATTGTGTAATTATCAACATGACTTATTCGACAGCAAAATTGAGTACGAATACTCCATATCATCCTTATCTCGAAAACTATCGATCTACGGAGGAAGTCGTAAGGACCTTTTTTATAGCTCATTAAGTTTCTCATAGAAAAGCTTTTATCGAGTTTTCTCTTAAAATCAATAGTTTTCGGGGAATCGATATTCATGAAAACAGTGAAAAACTGCGACTTATCATTTCGAAATTAATATCTTTGTTAATGAACTATTTATCTCGAGAACTATTAATTCTGAGAGAAAATACGATAAGATCTTTTTTGAAGATGATTAAATTTTCTATAAAAAAGGTTCTATGATGGTTTCTCGTGAAATTAATAGTTTTTATAGAAAAAATTGTTCAGCGCGGATTGTTCCAAGGATTGCAAATTTGTTAATGACTTTTCCTGCAGATCTGGGGTCCAAAGGAACTATCAAAATAGGCGACGCCTGCAAAAGGGACTGGCAGTGCATAGAAAATGCCTTCTGCAGGGCTCAGCAGACGTGCCTCTGCGAAACAAATTACGCCCCTTCAACTGACAGATCAAAATGTCACGCAAGTATGTAATCGTAGATTCAAATATTCAAAGGAAAAAAAATCATAATCTTCCCTAGAAAGTTATCTGAGTTCCCCAGGAATCCCTGAATTAAATGGAAACCAAATGGGAACTAAATTCCATAAGGCAAATGCGGTACTGTGCGAATTTCTGGGGTGAATAATTTTTTTTTCCTCGCCTTTTCCCAATTTTCGGAGATAAGAATTAGTTGGACGTCAGGCGATGATTCACTCGGTGAGTCAGGGATTCTAATCTATTCGAGATAGCTATCAGTGCCGAAACGAACCATTCGAATTCCTATTCCTTTTTCAAATCTAGAACTAATAATTTCTTTCCCTGAAATATTCACAAAAAACTGAAATTCGTGAGCAAAAATGAAAACGATGAGTTTTTTATCAATACCTCGAGAACCAATAGAGATATCGAAATTTTCCATTCGACCTTTTTTGTCGAGAAAATCCATATCAACAAAAAAGGTATCCTTCAAAATTTTCGTATCTCCACCAGATCCGCAGATATTCCCCGAAAACCTGCCGATCTCACAAATACGATTCCAGAAGTTACTGATTTAATTACCCCCCCTTCTAATTATCTCAATGAATCAGTTGTTGGGACTAATTGCCGGTCAAATGAAACCTGTGCCACAATGACAAATGCTGAATGCGTCCAGGGCGCCTGCACGTGCCAGAGAGATTTTATTCCGGACATCAACAATTCTTCCAACTGCATTACTAGTGAGTGATTAATTTTTTTAAACTGTTAATCACTTTATTTAATTACTCGATCATTTTCAGGACCAACAAAGCCTGGAGACTCTTGTCAACGCTCTGACGAATGTGCAGATACAATGTTCAGGGCTCTCTGTGTTAATGGAATTTGCAAATGCCTCGGAGATTTCCATTTCGTTAACGACACCGGGAGGTGCGTCGAAAGTAGAGGTAAATAATAATTGTTAATATTAATTACTAACTCACAAACTCTTAAACGCCTTAAAATTCCTTATTGAATTATTATTAATTGCTGGAAATATTATTAATGATTGGAATCAATCCTTAAATGATAATGGAATTGATTATCTCCAGAATTTATGCGTCCAATAATTATTATTTATTTATTAAACAATGGGAGACATTTGAGAGGGAAACGTTGAACTTATTTGATTCTATTTTCAGGGATTTATCAGCCCTGCAGACACAATCACGACTGCTTTGACCCCCAAAAACCAGAATCCCTCTATTGCAATAACAACGAGTGCGCGTACACAGCAAAATATGCCGGGAATGGTAAATAATAAATAAATAATCAGCTTCTGTGTTGTCCTGTCGATGTCTCTAAATGCCTTTCTCCAACAGTTACAATTCCAGGTGCCAATAGTTCCCCATCAACTGCAGGACTCATCGGATTGCTGATCTTCACTTCCAAAAGTTTATATATCTTATAAAATTATCTCTCAATATTTGTCCAAAGCAAAGACTGATAATCCCTCAACGATTTATGCGTTTAATAAATACATTTGAGCTCAATGTCATTATTCCAAAGAAAAGAATTGGATTTACTTCAAAACGCCTTTATTTTACATAAATTTATGTAATTACAATAACTGCCCATCTCCATTTAAATAAATTGAATGAGACAAAAGGGATTTTCCTTCATTTTTCCCTAAATAATTATTCAATCCCGAATAATTAAAGACTATTGGAGAAACAATAGATCCCCAGAGCCCATCCCAGACAGCAAAAATCATTTATCTACGTAAATCTATTTATTTATTCTCTATCTGACCCTGTATCTCCACCTGTGGCTCTTCCTCGACCTTGTCCTCCCTCTGGCTGATGGAGCTGATGTCGTCCTGCTCCAGGTCCTCTAGATCAGCCTCTTTGCTCCCGTAGAGGGCTGGATACTCAGCCATGCACGACTGCATCGTCTTGAAGGCATCATAGCAGTCTGATCCCTTGGGTTCAGCTGAAGAATAATGAAAACATGAGAATGCATCTCTGAACTCTAGTCCACATGGTCCCGTGGCCATTCCCCCAAGGCATGGACAGTTCCAGTTGATCTCGCCGTTGGGTAAGAGAAGCCCAGGACTGGGTTCAGGCTCGGGGAGTATTATTTTGCTGGGGCTCGAGTGCTCTTCCTTCGAGGCAAAAATTATTGTGTCTTTTCCCTCTTTTACGACTGTAGGCATTTTTTTTCTCGTTGGAGATGGGCGTCAGTGGGAGTAGCCTCGACCGTTGGACAACAGTCCGAAGGGACTCGATGATGATTTGGTGATCGTGTAGACACAGAGGTCTTCTTCGTAGGCACTTGCTAGCGTCAAGGATGATCGCAGTCTTACGTAGTCCTCGTCTCGGCAACGGATTATCAAGCTACGGGTCTTTGACGTGTATTTCAGAATGTCGATCTCACAGGATGATCCTTTCTCCCCGAATAACTGCTTCAGCTGCTTCGTGACATGACTCTTCAGGAATATTGGGGATATCTCCCGGGTAGGATTCGATGGCAGCTCTCTGGAATTTTTATTTCAGAATGTTAACCAGGGGGTCAGCAGTTTGTATTGATAATTTGAGGAATAATTTGGAATCAGAGGGAGATATCGGAATTTTGGTGATTATCTTTTTTGTAGAGGGATTTTGGAGCTGCAAAAAAGGTTCTCATCAAAATTTTGATATCTCATTTAAAGTAAGAAAAATAAACGTTTGCACGAGGAATTTTTTTCAGTCAATTATCAATTAATTCAATTACAAATTATTCAATTAAATATTAAATAAACAATTTAAATAACTCGTTTAATTAATCAGATCGAATAATAAATCTATCAGGAAAATCTTAAATCATATTAATTAATTAATATTAATATTGTCTGGGGAATAATTTTTCATTTGAACCGATGATTTCGAATTGTTGAATTTTTTTCATTTGGAAAATTAAAAATTTATTACAGAAATGATGAAATTGGAGCGAGGGAGGGGGAGGGTATCGCACGTGAAGGCCTAGATTGAGGTTAGAATAATGAAGTTCAGATAATTGTTAGAAGATCAATAAATTATTCAATAAAATACAATTAATACTAACAAAAAAACATCTAAGTATTGCATATCACTGCATTTGTCGACTCTTTTTCACTTTTTTTTCACCGAGAGTTCGCTAATTTATTCAATTGAAATCGAAAAAAGGGGAGACACTGAAGCCGATGTTTATCGCAATCACCAGGAGTCGAGGAATTCCTGGAGTATGGAAAACACGTGTGTCAGGGAAAATCACTGATTTTATTTTAATAATAATATTACCGATGGCAAATTCCTCTGGATAAAATTCACTCGGCGTTTTGCTCTCAAGTACGTGTCACTGGTCACGACATCTGCCTCGAAATCGAGATATTCCGGGTGAAATTCCAGGTGAAAATCCTGGCAAAAGGGATTTCCCCTAGTTCTGCCATCGATTCTTAGAGTCGAGGAATTAAAAAAAAAATGAGTCTTATTTTTCTAGAAAAAGAAAAAAAAATCAATCCTAAATTCTTATTATTTATTTAAAAACTTGAGAATTCTTTCTAAATTGAAAAAATTATTCCTCCCCTCCACCCCCACCCCCTCCCTTTTATAATAATAAATTACACCCCTTCCCTCCCTCATATTAACAGTAATAATAATAATAATAAGTCAATAATTAAAAACCAAAAAAATCCCGAACTCCTATTTTTTAAAATGATTAAGTGAATTATTTTACCCCCGTTTAAAATAATAATAATAATAACAACAAATGCATAAATAATTAAAACCAACAATTAAATTTCCATTAAAAATTCAAAAATTCACATCCATTAACTCCCAACCCCCAAATAAATCAAATAAATCGAAGAACTAAATAATAAATATGTCACCCACACCCCCTCCCCCATTTACCCAAAACCCAATAAATAAATAATAACCCAAGAATTTAAAATCCGGGATATTGCACCTTGCGTATACCTGAAGCTGATCGTGAAGAAAGGGCGGATTTTCTTTAACGACCCTTTCTCCACTGCCACCCCCTATAAACCGATAGGGGCATCAGCCCTTGGTTACAGCCCCCTCCCCCTTTCATCCCTATGTACAGAGTACATATATGTACCGTTCATACTGCACATGGAGAATTGTTCTGTTGAGAATTGTGCAGGAATAGAGCAGGTACCCGTATGTTTCCAGCTTTTTTCCCCCCTCTATCGTAAAATGAGGGGCGAAAAGGGGTGGAAGGGGGAAAGAGGGAGGGTGGGAGGGGGTTTGGATGGTCCCAAGAGTCGACTTCCGGAGGATACCCAATTAACTCTCAGCAGCCGTCGCAATATATATACCACCCCCCC